GCAGCCCTTGCTCCCCTCGGCAACCCTGCACTCCTGCTATGGGGAAGGCTGATGGAGAAGGGCCAAGCACAGCAGCTCATCGCCAAGAACTTTCTTTGTTTCCAGCCACCTCCCTCTCCCTTTTTTTTTTTTTTTCTCTTTTCCTTTTACAATTTCCCACTCCCTTTTCTCTATTAAACTCTTTGTTATGGTTTGTTCCCTCCATTGCTTTGGTTTCACAGCCCCTTTGAATTTTGCCTTGCAGCCGGGCTCTTGGCTCCCCATTGTTTCCCCACATCTTGGGGTGTGGGAGGGGGCGGGTGGAATAAAGAGACTGATGCTTTTTCCCCTCTGCTGGCAAAAGATGCTTGAAATCTGTGGAGTCTTCCACAGAGTGGTTTATTGTATGTAATCTCTCTGGGCCCAAGACCACACAGGCTCAAACCCATTTGAAAGGGCTCTGCAGACAGCTCTGTCTGCTGGAGGCTGTTATGTCTGGCTGTGCCCTTGGAGCTCTGTGGACAGATGCTGATGCCCACTAGTGGTGGTGCACAGAGCTGGGTGTCCTGGAGCCCCATGGAAATGTCTTTCCAAGTGACAGCAGCATTGCTTTCCAGCTTGCTGTTGTTCACGTGCCTCTGGCTGGCATGGACATCAGAGAGCTTTGGAGCATGTAGGGGAGCTGGCATGATGCTGCCCCTCAAAGCTGGTTTTTTGGGCCTTTCCATATGCCCCACAGCCAGGACATTCTTCAGGTCTCCTTGGAGAAGCTGTGGGAGGAGGTAGGCTGCAGCCCTGGGCTTTCCTGCAGCTGCACTCAGCCTTTTCCACGAACTTGAGCAGTCCAGGCTGATTCCTGGTTGTGCTCTGTGCGTGTCCTTAGTGTGTTTACATAGGGAGTTCAGAAATGATTATTCTAGGAGGTCACACGGCCTCATGTTTCAAGAACAGGGAACTATTTTTGTGTATTTGTTTTTTGTATCTGTTCTTAATCCCGTTGCTTCAAGTCAGCCTCTTGAACCACCCGCTCTCTTGTAGCCCTGCGTGGGATAGTTTGCCTCTTGGCGAGGTGTAAAACTGAGGGCCTGAGAAGGCTTCAAAGTGCTCAGGCACTTCTTGCTATGAAAGTCACCAGAAACTGCTGCTATCTGCAGCACTGAGGCTCTATAGAGTCAGGGAGAGCCCTGTCATGCTGGCCCCGCTGGCTGCCCTTCCCAGGAGGGACATCCCACCACAGTCTGCTCCATAGGGAGGATGGATCTCCCTCACAGAGCCAGGGAAGCATTCGCCAGCTGCCAGCACGTTTCCCCTGCAGTTGCCAGAGCCCTTGCTGCCACGATGGCTGACGGGCGGCTTTTGTTGACAACTCTGTTACGGTTGGCCAGGTGCCATTTGCATTGCTTTTAGCAACCTGCCACTTCTGACAGTTCCCGTACGAAGGGTTTCAGTCCCACTTTCCACTGGCTTGGTCTCCCTCTGAATTCTATCTCAAGGAACACTGGAGCCGGGGGAGAGCTGTGCTGCATGCTAGACTGTAGAAGAGGCAGTGGGGACCAAGCAGGACGGTCTGGGAGAGCTAAAGTATCATTTTTCCACCTTTATAATTCCCATTTAAGGTGCTCAATTTCAAACACAACCAAGAAGAATCTGAGAAGATTGGGTTCCTGATGGTAAACTCCTTGATCAGTAATTTTTAAATAGTTGACATACGGCCAATTACTTGTAACAGCGCTCTGCAGGAAGTCTAGAGAGCCAAAGCACCGTGGTGTCTGTCGGAGTTCAGCCTTTTACATCTGTTGGTTTCCATTCTCTGTGAAGGATTTGTTCCACGCCGTCCCTCCAAGGGACGGGAGCAGATGGTGTGCTTTGTGTTAATATGAAGTGCTCCTCTCCTCTGGTGCTAAACAAGACCCACCTGCATCTCTGAGGCTGTCCCTGTGGCTGCTGGTCTCCCTTCCAGGAGGTCCTGTGGAGGTTTGGAGGGCTCGTTTTCGTACTTTGGTGGTGGATGTGGCTGTGATGGAGTTGCCCATCCAAGTGCTCTTGTTGAAGCCTAAAGCTCAGGTTTGTGGGGATGGCCCTGTGTGCAGAATATGGTGTGTGAGTGACCCTGAAAACTCTACACCCTTCCTCTGTGCCATGTTGTAGTCGGACAAATGCTGTGAATTGCATTTCAGCAATTTCGGAAGCAGGGGCAGGAATTCCAGCACTGTTCCTGTGACCTGTGGCTGCAGTTCAGTGGGAGGTTTCAGTCCCAGTGATTTCTGTCCCAAAGTGCAGCCCTGTGCCCTCAGCCATCCAGCCTGGTTCGATATGATGTGTGTGGGTTGGAGCGGGGCGAGGGATGGGGGCTCTCAGGGTGGAGCAGAGTGAGGTTTCCTTTCCTGTCAGAGGGCAGCTGTTGGTTTCCAGGTTTCACAGAGTCAGCTAGATCCCCTCCACCGTGCAGAAACCACTGCTGGCCCAGGCAGGCCTGTAAATGTTTAGATAGCATTGCCTGTTGGTTTTGGCCACAGCCCAACCCAAGCGATGGGGTTGCGGCCCCCTCCCAGGCCTGGCTGCCCACCATCTGCTGGGCTCTCCCACCCCTCCGTGGAGCAGGGCCTCCCTGCCAACGGAGCGGAGCTGCAGAAAAGCCATGAAATAACAGTTTCCATGTGCCCTCAGCTGCACAGCTGGGCCTGGAAGAAGCCTGTCCTTGGGGCGGCCTCTTTGGGAGCAAGCTGCTCAGTGCCACACCTGTGATTGCAAGGACAAAATGGAGTTTGGGGCTGCTGCTGCCCAGGCAGGCGTTGTGCCTGGCACAGAGGACAAAGTGTAGTGCTAGGCCAGGAGGGGAAGTGCAGCCTGAGCACTTTCCAATTGGTCTTTATCACTGAAGGAAGCACCTGAGGAAGGGATGGATGGGTTCTGTGGGAGCCCAAAACCTCTCATCCTTGTGAAAGGCTTCATGGAGTGGCCAACTGCACCATTCATCCCTTTCTAAATTTGCAATTTTCTTGCTAATTAGGGAACACCTGAGCTTTGCTGTCTGGTGTGTTTTTTCTGATTTTTTTTTTTCTGATTTTTTTTTTTATTGCCCTCAGAGCATCACAGATGAGAATTGTCAAAGATCTGTGGCATCTTTAGCCAGCAGGTGGGAGGGGGCTGTAGGAGTTAAGGACAAGGGATGGTCAGAAGGAGAGAGGAAGTCAGCTTTGCAAAGGCGGTATTTTTATGGATATTGAGGATTTCCCTTTTCTGCGGGTTTCTTCATCTCTTCTGTTCTCCACAGATGAGGAGATATTCCCCAAAGACCTGTCAGCTGTTCTAATAGGATGAGGAAGAAACCATTATCCAGACTCCAGGGAAATCTGCATTCCAGCAAAATAGGAGCGAGCTCATCAGCTGGGAGAAGTGCCCCTTCTCTCCATTACAAGGGTGTAATAAAGCTCGGTGTGCCCTCAAATCTCAGGGCTTTATTACTCTTCTGAGCATTGAATTCATTTTAGCTTAAGCAAATCCACATCCTCATTAAAATCCCAGTCTAATAAACTGTTGACTCCAAATAAAGGCAGAATAGGAATAAACAATGAAGAAAAGTTGGCTCTACCCTCTGCCCCAGTGGAAGGCGTTCTCCAGGCAGGCAGCCAATGGTGATATAACCCTGTGAAGTGCTGCAGACTGGTAAGGAACCTGGGATATCAGCTGAGCTTCCAACCAAAATGAGCTCATGCTGGCCTGCCGGCAAGTCCTGGAGTAAAGGGTAAAGGCAGCTTGGATGATACTTAGCATGAAGTTAACGCTTGGTTTGCTGATGGTATGAAGTCATGAATGTTATGAAGTTATTGATTTCATTAGTAAGCACTTGCTTCATATCGCTGCTTCCTTCTCTGTCTTAGTTTGGAATTGATTTCACCAGGAAGTTTGTAGTTCCTTGGGAGTCCCCTCACCTTGGCAGCTTGTGCTGCATCAGCCCTCCGAAAAGAGAATGGATTTCCAGTGGAGTTTCAGTTTGGCATTCAAGTAGGTTTGATTAGCTCTAACAGTTCAGTGTTGGGATGTCTATGCAAGCCTCCTGGTATTTGAGTTTCGCTATTGGACTGGGATGTTGGTCGCGTTCCAGCATTGAGAAAAATGTGCATCTCTGTGGGAAGTGTTTTGAAACTCTTAAGAGATTGTGTTTTGAGCACCAAAACATCACCATTCTATGAGCCTTCACTCTTGGTTGTATTAGTCTGAAGTTCCTACCTGGTCCCTTCACCTGAGCTTCTAAATGGTTTATTCCTGTCACTGAGGTGATATTGGAATTTCCTTGGAACTATGTGAGACATAAGAGTAAAAAGAAGAAATGAACATGCCCTTGTTCTGCTGACTCAATCTGTTATCAATTAGTGAAGGCTTAGGTTTGCAACACTTGAGAGTTATGTTGGCATCTCACCAAGGGTCATCTCTGTTTTCTGCCAGTAACAAGCAAGGATGTTAAATAAATAATTTCCCAATTCTGTTATTTACTTGTTATCTTTCATAGAAGAATAGTACAACTGGGTTGTTTTCTTCCTTTCCCCCCCTCATTGATCACCAGTGAAAGCCTGATTGCATGGTCTGTGAATAACTGAGGATTGTGAGGATTAGTTGTGCAGCATTTCATGTAACAGGAGGGTAATTTGCACCCCAGCAGGCTTCAGAAAACAAAACCTCAAGGTGACAGCAAAGCTGTTTATGGAAAACCAGATGGAGTTTTGAACTGTGTAGGCTCAAGTTCTCCTTGCAAGTCTCATTCTGGGGTGCAGAATTTGTTATGTACCTGTAGTTAGGGGTAGGGAGCTGTCTTAATTCCCAGCTTGGAATAAGCATCTTGCAGTCAGCTAAGCTGCAGCAATGGAGCTTAGTAATTTAAGCTTGTTTATTTTCTAGTGTTGCTGTAACTACTTTAAGTGCTCCCATGCGCTCCCTGGTTGATGCTCAGCCGTTTTGCAGCCATTGGAGTGTCATGGGTTATTCTGTCACTTGTATCTGATTTCTTCCTTTGTTCCTTACAGGTGTACATTATCAAAGTCACCTGGTCCAATGGGTCCACAGAAGTCATCTACCGACGGTATAGCAAGTTCTTCGACCTACAGGTAAGCATTTCTCCAGTTCTTGTGTTTTTGACTTCAGAGGGTTGAAAGATGTGGTAAATGGAGGAGCGTGGCTTGTTTTGTACTAGAGGTAAGCATTCCTTTTGTAATCCACCGGAAAATGTTTAGATTTGAGGGAATTTAAGCACAGCTTTGGACACCCTTGGGAAAGCAAGAACAAAGCAACCTCAAAAGCTGCACTCAGTGCCAGTGCCCTTTGCAGTGCAATGTGGGGATTTTGTGTGTTAAAGTTCATCTCTCACTCCCTGAGATGAAAGTGCATAAGGGGTCATAGGTGTGTTTGAGTTCCTCCAGCTGAAATCAATGCAGGTGGTGGTGGGGTTTTGTTTGTTTGTTTGGGGAGGTGTTGTTACAGTTTATCCATTCCTGTGGAACTAATTCTGTGCCTTTCCCAGGTGCTAGCGCACCAAAATGGAGCAGCTGCTGAGAACCACTGGTTCCCAGCATTTTAGGGAGCAGATGATGGGAAGTTCCCTTTAACCAGCACTCAGTGGATTCAATGCCAGCCTGGAGTGCAGCAGGTGGCAGCTACTTTAGCAATTACCTCCTGGTGTGGAGTGGAGTGGGGAGCTGGGGGAAGGAATGGAGGGAGGAGGCTGGAAAGGCAATGTGGGACACTGGATTGCAAAAAATCTGAGCCACTGGGTGAGCAAGCAAAGGGTGTTCTCCACCTCCTCCTTGTACTGTGGCGATGAGCCAAGGGGTCTGTCTGAGCTTTATGAGCCAAAACATAAACTGAGCTGCTGGAACAGGCTCTGTACAGATGCAAAAGGAAAACGTGCAAAGTGATCTATGGACCTGCCAGAGAGCTCACTGGCACATCCCTCTTGTACGTGTGTGGGGCTGGGAGGGAAGCTGGGCACCCTTCAGCTTCCTGCGTGTGTGAAGCTGCATACATCTCTGTGCTTTATTTCAGTGGTTGCTGTGCTTGCCTGGGAACATAGATACCTCTCTGTAAACTGCTGGGGTTTGAATGCATCCTGACACAGATAGGCTGCTAAAATAACAGCACATCTGGGCCTGCCTAGCAAAGCAAGCCCTAAGGAATGTGAATGGCTTTAGCAGGTTCTGATGGCTTCAGGTCAGCTTGGAAAGCCGTTTTTAGGCTTGGGAGTGCGGGTGGGTTTCTGAGAGATGACTGCTCCCATGCATGGTGCCCTGCTCCTGTGCAGCAAGGCTCCTACAGAGCCATGTGCATGGTCACAGGGATGTCCATAGTGAGAGCCCCAGTCACCCTTCTGTGCCTGTGCTGTTGGTTGGTTCACACGTTATGCCCGGCCAAGGCAAGGTGGGCAGTGCTGTGGGTTACCACTGGTACAGGGAAGGGTTAAGCTGTGAGCAGCTGCTGGTGTAACCAAGGAAATATGAAAATAAATAAACAGGGAACAGCTGTTGGGCAGTGGCCAGAGCTGGAAGGAAATGGAACTCAGCTCTTCCTTGTCTTCAGCATCTCATCTTCTTTGCTGGTGCCCTAAGGTTGTAGCCAAACTCAGGATGTCCTTTGTTGCGGGAGGGACAGAATTTTGGGGTTTGTGTCTGCCAAAGCAGTGCCTGCCTCCAGCTGTGCTCTTACCCAGTTGTTGCCCTGGGGCAGCTCTAGAGGAAAATAAATGCTTTATATTTAGTGTGGTACATTTGGGAAAGTTCAAGCCAAACCTTCCCCTTCCCTGCTGCCTCAGCATTTTCTTGCAAAAAAAAAAAAAAAAAAAGAGTAACCACTCCTTTCTGGCTTTGTTGGAAGAATGAATGAAATTGTGGTTTCTCCCTTCCTTCCCCGTTATCACACATGCTTCCTGGTGTACTTACTTTAAACTTGTGGTGCAGTACAGTGGAAATTGGATTGAAAGGAGAGAAGTGAAACAGATCCTTTTAGCACAGTGGAAAAAAAAAATTGCTCTAGGTAGGCTTGGTAGCAGTGACTGCTGCAGTTGCTGGAGGCCTTTATTGAATGACTGTTTTATGATTCTATGCCAATTTTAGCTCTTTAGGCAGAAATTTTCCATGCTGGAAATTATTCATGCTGCTGGTTATTAGATTAAAAAAGGGAAAACAGCAACGCAAAAGAAATAATTGGCTAAAAGGGTTTGGTTGCTTCTGAAAACATAGAAAGAAGGGAAGAATGTTGCTGTGTCCAGTCCTGATAGTCTTGGTGCACTGGAGGAATAATTGGAAACTAGAGTCCCAGGTGATCCCTGCATCAAGAATCTGTCTTTGGGGCTGTCTAGGCTTACTCATATTCACAGCTCTGAGAAATCTGGGTAAATGCATGTTGGGGTAGAGAGATGTGTTAATTTAATAGCAGTTCCCAGTGATCCTGGTTGCACTTTCTAGGCTCCAACCAGAAGCCGAGCAAAGGTTTGCATTGTTTTTTCCAGTAGCAGCTCTGGCTGCAGTGGGTGAATGTTGGTGCATCCTATCGCAGATAGTGAGCCTCTTGTAATCCAAGCAGGGATGGGGAGGAGATGTTCTTGGGTGTCAGAGTGAGAGCAGTGGGATCTGCGAGGGGGCTGGATGTGATGCTGGTGTTTCAGAGCAGCCCCAGCACCGTTCCATGAGTGCTTGGGGATTTTCTCCTGGTATTTCCCTGGTGGCTTGCTGCTGAACCATTTGTCACCTTCCATTGTGGCCAAACAATTGTTTTAGGAGTTGGGCCAAGTAAAACACATGCATGCTTACTACTGACAGCCTCGCTGGCTGTCCTGCTCCCACTGCAACCAGTGGCACCATTCTGTGTCCTGTTTTGTGAGATGAGGGTAAAAGGCCCCTGGTGTGTTTGGGCCAGCAAAAAGAAGCAGATGCTGAGCCCTGCACGATGTGTCCATTGTGGCTCTTCTGAGGATGGCCAGTTCTGTGATGATGGAAAGTCATGTAAGTTTCAGTATTAGCAGTGTGTAAGGTTGCAGAATAAAATAAAGAAGCAGCAAATGCAGTAATAAATAGGTTAATATCTCAACAGTAAATATCTTGCTGGCTAATTAATGTAGTGAGTCACACCACGGCCTTGGGCAGTGCCAGGCAGTGAAATTGGGAATGTTTAAACTGAGTAATGCCTCCCTCCTCCTATTTACTATTAATTGCAGGAGGAAACCAGGGCACTCGGTTAGTGCTCCAGTGTTTTTCTGCTTTCTGTGGATCTCTGGGTTCCTACCCTGTCTCCTCCTTGTTTTCTCCATAAATGTTTTATATCACACTGCAATTTATGTAACAGCTATGTATTAGGGATAAAACAAAACCAAAACAAGTAACTCTATGTTAATTTATAATTCTGAAATTTCAAACCTCAGGTAACTGTGTGACTTGTAGTAAATTTGTAACTTCAGATGCTAGCCTCAGTTATGCATGGGTCTCTTGGCTGCAGGAGTTCTTTCCTTCGGACAGGATCAGGGTTCTTTTGTAATGCATGATATGCCAGATGTGAGCTATTGGGAGCAGATGGATGCTGTTCCTAAGAAATAAAGCAATGAGTCTGTTGCTTTCAGGAATGCCAGTTGGTTCTGGATGCTAATTGAGCCTGGCAGGTATGTTGGAAACTTTGGCTGGCATGGAAATTGGTAATTGAATCCTTGACACACTGTCTCTGGTAGACAGTGATCAAGTGTGAGGTTCTGTTGTGCCACAGAGGTGCTCCCAGCACTGCCCATGCACAAGGAGCAGGCTGTGACCGTGGGACCCCAATGGGTCACATCAGATGCATTGCCTTGGAAGCATTTAGCAAACCATTGGAAAGGATCCTCTTGAAACCATTGTCTGGACTGACAGTATTGGTTAGAGAACAGACAGTGGCTTGCATTTTGTGTTTTCTGTGGAAACCCAAAGAAAGAAACACTTTTTCCACCATTTTTTTTATGAGCTCGTCAGCCACAGTGGGTAGTAATTTCAGGTCCTCATGTGGCCAAGAGCCACCTTGTCTTGCTACACTCATGTTGTGCTCTCATGCCCAAACTCAACTCTTCAACACCAGTCATGCTTTCACCAGCAGCTGCCTGTGCTCCCTGGCTCTCTTCAGCCCTGTTGCCTTTTGCATCTTGGGCAATAGAATGGATGTTCCTGCACTTGGGAGTGGATCCGGTGCATTAGGAAGCCGAGTACCAAACCTTCCCTTCAAGCAGGCTTTGCTATTCACACCACGGCCTGCCATCTCACCACTAAGGCAGAAGCTTCTCCTTTGGCAGGTTGCTGCAAGCCCTTACACGTCAAACTGTGGTACAGAGGTACCCTCGCTGGGCGCACATTGCCCCTTGCAGTCAGAAGCTTTTCCTCTAGCCCTGCTCCCTAATGAAGGCTGAAGGAAGAGAGGGTGATGCCTTGTGGTTGCTTCTCTGCACAAAGGTTCAATTGTGAGCCAAGGGAAGGAGACGTGACATAGTCTGGAGTAAATGTGCTTGCTGCATGGTTCAGAGGCAGACAAAAAGAGAATGTTAAGCATACTTAAAAATGGCTCTGGCTCTCACCCGCTGCATGCACATCAAGTGTGTTTTCCAGTCCTCTGGTCTGTCCATATGTTTAACAAATCCTTCAGGTTCTTAGCTGGAAACTTTCAGCCTTGACCCACCTGGAGCTATGTCATCTTGGAGAGAATCCTGCATCCTTCGTGCCAACAGCTTTGTGTGTGAGAGGGGAAAAAAAAACACAGGCTGTTGAAGTGGTGCCTACTTCTATGAGAAAATTGGCAAAAGGCAGTGGTGTGTGCATGTCGTCTCTACATGAAAGGCAGATTAGTTGTTCTAAGGGGTTTTTCACCTGCTGTGCACGTGCAGCAAAGACAGAGTGGGGGAAAAGTCAGAATCGTGGTGATTTAGACTGCTTTAAAATAAAATGTTATGTAGAAATGTGCTCAGAAGATGCTGGCTGGCACAGAGGTGAATTGTTCTTGTCAGCCTGTTGGCCTGAATAAAAGAAAATATGTTGAGTAAATTCAAATAAGCCTGGTGCATTGCTTCCAGCACTGTGGGATGCACCAGTGTGAGGTGCAAACCCCCCAC